CTAGATGTTCGCTATCGAGGAAATAGGTGTCTAGGTGTTCGCCTTCAAGGAACTAAGTGTCTAGGTGTTCACCTTCGAGGAAGTGGGTGTCTACGTGTTCGCCGTCGAGGAGGTGGGTGTCTACGGGTTCGCTTTCGAGGAAGTGAGTGTCTAGGTGTTTGTTTGTAAAAAACAATGTGTCGTCGTCGTCGTCGTCGTCGTCGTCGTCTACGGAGTGAGGAAATGCATTCTGGAATTTTTGGCGCAAGAGATAAATGTGGTACGATGGGTACCTATAATGGGCCTTCTACAATAAGCCGTAAGTCACAAATCATAAGTCATAAGCTAGAAATGGACCAATCACAGTCGTTAATTTTTAGTTTCTTACTTCCGATTTATGACTTATGGCTTATTGTAGAAAGCCTATAAATCTAATATCGATCGTTGCGATCTGTACGATCGTTAAAAAAGTCGAGTCTCGCAATAACAAAGAATTGAGGTTAGGAAATAGGAAATCTGTCACATCGATGGCATAGACGAACACGTAAGTGAGGTTAGCATAAAAATAAATATTTTCTGCTTTATTACACAAATTCTCTGCTGTAAAACACATTCCGTTGTAAGAATACAAATTATTTTCTATGTATTTTTTTTTCACAACATTTGGTTAGATTACTTATTTATTTACCGAGACACTACCGTCTACAGATCTGGTAGTTTATCAATCAGATAAGTTACAATACCTATTAATTTGTTCTCTCTATTCTTTATATAATTATATTATAAAAGAACTGATTCTTTGTGCCATATTTATTTTCAGATTTATTGAAGGAAAGGCCTGAACCACATATATAACTAAGATATTCTGAATCTTGATCTTCTCGCTGTGTTTATTTTGTGAGTTACATTTTATTTTATTATTTATTTGTTTAGTAGTTACCTCAATTTGTTTTATAATTATAAAAGAATTGATTCTTTGTGCTTTGTTGATAGTAAAAGTCTGAAAAGAAAAAAAGGTATGGAATTGAAAGATCCTTGCCTTTTCTTTTCAAGACTTTTCCTTCAATAAATCTGAAAATAAAATACAGCACATATAAAATATAGCACATAGAATCAATTCTTTTATAATAATAAAGATAAAATTTATTTGATACAGTTACTCAAATATATATATATATACATATATATAATTATTTGGTTTTATTGAAATCTTTAAATTAACTTGGTATTGAAGTCTTTAAAATCTTAAATAATTATCTAATAATGTAATATATTATCATGAAAAGTAACTGCAGATATATATTATTGAAGGTGCCAGTTCAAAGTGAACGTTCATAAAATGTATATCCTTTTGTTGCATATATACGTAATAATGATTCACATGCACACTAATTGTTTATAATAGTAATGTTAAATCATTATTACGTATATATGCAACAAAAGAATATACACTTTATGTATGTTTACTTTCAACTAGCAGCTTCAATAATATATGAGTCATTTTTCTTGGTAATATGTATAAAAGTATAACATCAGAATTCTCTTTCCCTTATCTTCTTCAGTAATACCCAACAGTTCTTAACTTTACGTCTGATTGGACTAAGACTAACTCAAATATGTACTTGAATATCTCATTTTGTATGCCAAGGATAATTTTATATATATATATATATATATACATATACAGGGTGTACCAAAAGTTTGGAAACGGTCTTGTATCTTTGAAAAAAAAAGTTTTTTCTAAAATCGTCGAAACACGTCAAACGAGTTTTCAAAAAATCTATCTTTTGCGGGGGTTGCAATCCCCCAACCCCAAAGGGATGAATAAAAGAACTTTATTATGTGATTTCTCTTTCTTGGTGATGGTATTCGAACGGTGCTTTTCCAGTATGTCTACATTGCGATATTCTCTAAAATATTTTAACATAATACATTTTATGTATTAATTCCAATGTCAAAATCTATTACATATATATATATATAATCAAATACGCTAATAAACGTAATAAGTGATATTCTTCGCTATCTTATTTTTTACCTAAAATATCAAAATAACAGTTTTTCAAAAATGAATCATAAAAGATCAGTATTAATTTCAAAAGAATTTTTATAACAAATTGTCTATTTTAACGTAATATATTTTATTATTGAAAGATAATGAAATAGATAAGTTTTACAATATCTATTAATTTGTTCTCTCTATCTTTATATGATTATAAAAGAACTGATTCTTTATGCTGTATTTTATTTTCAGATTTATTGAAAGGAAAGGCCTGAACCTAATATACTAAAATATTCTGAATTTTGTGAGTTGCATTTTATTTTATCATTTGTCTGGTAGTTAGTTTCAATTTGTTTCCTCTATTCTTTATATAATTATAAAAGAATTAATTCTTTGTGCTTTGTTGATAGGTAAAGTCTGAAAAGAAAAAAGATAAGGTTTAAAAGATAAAAGATATATTCCGATTTACCTGTATATAGCGGTGTCCTTTAACACAGTGTTGTACAGCTTCGCCAGCCTCCGTACAGTCCCGACGTAGCTCCCTGCGACTTTTGGCTATTTCCTCGATTGAAAATGCCGCTTAAAGGACACCGATTCGACGACAAGTAGACTGTTGAAACCAATGCGACGAATGCACTAAAGGCGATTCCAATAACTGACTTTCAAGACTGCTTTGGAAAGTGGAAGCATCGATATGAGCGTGTTGTTCAATCAAATGGGGACTACTTCGAAGGATGCCACCAACCGGATGACGAAAAATAAGCCAAGCGCCGAAAAATGGAGGTAGGTCGGATACTTTTGGGACAGACCTCGTATATATATATAATTATTAGTATTGAAATCTTTAAAACTTAAACAATTATCTAATAATGTAATATATTATCATGGAAAGTAACTGATATATATTATTGAAGGTGCCAGTTCAAAGTGAACATACATAAAGTGCATATTCTTTTGTTGCATATATACGTAACAATGATTTAACAACATATGCACACTAGTTGTTTATGATAGTAATGTTAAATCATTATACGTGTATATGCAACAAAAGAATATACACTTTATGTATGTTTACTTTCAACTGGCACCTTCAATAATATAGGAGTCATTTTTCATGGTAATATGTATCAAAAGTAATGTCAGAACTCTCTCTCCCTTCTCTTCTTCAGTAATATCCAACAGTTCCCAACTTTACGTCTGATTTGATATCTGATTTAATAAGGCTAACTTGATCTCATTATGTATGACAAGATTAATTTTTTTCATTTGTATAAAAGATATGATATCATATCAATAGTCGGCGCGAAATTAAATTCTAATATCTTTTAAAACTCACGTGTACTATTCTTATTAAATTCTACTAAATACATAAATTACTTATGAAATAATAAATATTATCTTATAAAATCGTATCAGATGAGTTTTACAATTTCTGTTAATAATTTGTTTTTCATTATAATTATGAAAGAATTGATTTCTTGTGCCGTAATTTATCTTCAGATTTACTGAAAAGAAAATGCAAGGATTAAAAATATTTCAGTCTGTCTGTTATACTTTTACTAGAATATCCCGATTTTTAATAACTGTAATAATTGACTTTACACTTATAATAAATTGCATAATACAATTGTCATTATCAACCAGGGGAGTGGTGGGAGTTGCAACGTAAAATGAAATTAATTTAATTAAAATATTTATTATTTTATATATGTATAATATATATATATATATTATTTTATAATATAAACGTTTATTATATATATTATGTTTTACATATTAATTTTGTATATTATTGTAGAACCTCTACCGCGACCTTGTCCATGACCTCATCCACGTCCTCTTCCCCTTTTCCATCGTTTTGCTGAAATAAAGAAATTAATTTGTTATTATAATTATAATTGTTATAATTTTATTTTGCCATCTTTACAAATCTCTTTGAATATTATATAAAAAAAAAACAGTGTCCTGTGGAAAGAAGATGAATAGCAATCATACATGCAGACGAAAAGTAACTCTTGTATAATACAATTTTTGTCTACTTGTAGAATTGGCATTTATCTTCATTCCTCAAGATACTACCCTTTTTTCTAGGGCATTCGGTCCAGGATAATTATAGTATACGGAAGTAAGCTATATTCCTGGATTATTCAACCTCAATATTCTTTGAGCTTACGTGACAATAGCGTTATGTATGATTTTTCGAGCATATCTGCCGTCAGGATGCAAACCCATACAGCGGAATAGCGTAACGCGGAACGAGAGTAGAACCAATCACGAGATTCTCTAGAAACACGGAATGCTCGTTATTGGTTCTGCTCTCGTTCCGCGTTACGCTATTCCGCTGCATGGGTTTGCACCCTCACAGAAACTGATAACAAGGTTGGATAATCCAGGAAATGATTCTACTGTATATTGTTATTTTGTAATAAATACTTACGTCTCATTATAAGCTCTTGTGTATTTGATGACTGAGGGTACTGTCCCATGATACGGAAATTACACCGGAACGGAACAGTGAGACCAATCAGATCTCTGCAATCATTACTCTACTTTCCTTTCTGCGATTGTGATTGATCTCACTGTTCCGTTCCGGTGTAATTTCCGTATCATGGGACAGCACCCTGAGGGAGCCGTCCCATGGAGCGTTTCTCAATACGTACGTATTGACGGATCAATGCGTCGACCAATCACCGACGATCCGCCGTTTTACATCCGAGCCGTAGAATTTGTCCAAGAATCGAAATGAGCACGGTAAACTGATGAATTGGCGAACCCAGGCGAACCGTTTAAGCGCGCAATAGTGTTCTGTATACGAAATTTGTGTTTATTGAAGAAAGTTCTTTCGTAAAGCAAAAAAAGAATCTAAATCATTAAAATAAAAGCGGAACATGGCAAATATAGAAAATATACCACCCAATGTAACTGTAAGTAATAAGTACTACATATTATATATACTTCTTGTATTAGAGGTTGTGACTGTGTTCCGTTATGTACTGCAAAATTTATAGTACTAAAAATCTATAGTATACGTAACGCGAACTATTAATTTTCAGTACTTGCAGTGAATAACGAAACAGAGCCTATATTTATATTCGAAGTAAAAAAAAATGAATGTAACGAGGAACTGTCCTTATTTGCGATGCATTTTTTTGCAGAAATGTGGACATTGTGGCTGGGTAATTACTGCCTTGATTAGGAAAAATATTAAAGATCATAACTGTTTTAGCTTATTTGATGAAGCCACTCATGTGTTGTGCTCTGATGGCAACAGCATATTAATGTGTAAAGTATCATGACAAGAAAATGCAAAATTATGTTGGATATGTTTAATTAATATAATGAAATTAATTGATTATATTATGCACATTATTTTACAGTTGACAAGGACAAGTTTGTCAGTGCTTCGAATGATGAAGTAGAAGAATTGCAACAGAGTTAAAGATCAAGTAGGTTGGGAAGAAAAGATTTTTGCATCTCTGTTGTCCATGTGCTAAATTGTAAAATTAATTCTTTCATTATTGTTCAGATACAAAAGGTAAGATGACGAAGACTGTGAAGTCCGGAGGGAAACAAATCGAAAACGAGTACAATGAAAAACTGATAGCTGCAGTCCAAGAACGGCCACCATTATATGATTGCCGATTGCCTCTAAAAAGTCGGAATAATCTTAAAAAAGAAGCATTGTGGAAAGAGGTTGCGAATATCGTACAAGGTATGTTGTACACAAACACAGAGTTGTTAATTCCAAAATACGCAATTACTCTTCATAGCTCATCCTTGCTTATCCATCAGTAACATCATCCTCTAATTTTAAATTTGTTAACCTTCGAAATGTCACTAATCTTTTCAAAATTGAGAATTGAAGAAGACAAACGTAAAATAAAGTCAAAAGTTTGACATGAAGGCTTCTTTCTAGTTTTTTCTTTTCAATTCTTAACCAATTTCTCTGGGTTTTTTTTTTTTTATAAATTTAGGAACATAATAACGTATTCGAATTGTATGGTATTAACGCATTGGAGGTCGTTTTGAGGATGGAAAGTTATGAACTTGACGAATCTATAGACCGGGAGATCTCTTGATTTAAATTATCAATCACATATGCAAAATGTAATATTTATTGTACTTTTGTACTAAACATAGGGGACGATGACTGTGATAGAGTCCGTAAAAGATGGACGCAATTGAGAGACAGCTATGTGAAGGCAAGGCGTAAGAAAAGACAGTATATCCCAAGTGGATCAGCAGCTGCAGCAGCTGACGAATTGAAAAATACGAAATTCTCGTTTACTTGGTTCAACCAATTGCAATTTCTTGACGACGTACTGCAGCAAGTACCGTAAGTTGTAATACTTGTATGTTAAAAATATATATTTTACATAAGGTATACGTAGAACTTTTTGGAAACTATTTAAAAAATTATTCTTGAACTACGCAATTGAAGTTGTGTACGAGTATATCATTGGTCACGTTCAGCAGACTCAATTGTTGCGGAGCGGATCCGTGAGCGCTCGCTACTATTGGTATATTCTTTTAGATCATCCAATAGCAGTGAGCGTTCACGGATCCGCTCCGCAACAGTTGAGTCTGCTGAACGCGACCATTGGGTTCATCCAGAAGCATGACCGCTCAGTGAGCTTTTTTATTTGATTGGCATATTCCATTAGATCTAAAAATATAAACTAAACAGATACAAGAGCTCACTGAGCGCTCAGTGAGCGGTCGTGTTTCTGGATGCACCTATTAAGCCTATCGCATATGAAATGCATAATAGAACATGAGCATAAAACTGTTGAACCAATAAGCATTCAGCATAAAGTTGCCATATTGATTAACATAAGATGCTCATTGGTCCAGCGGTCTTATGTTTATGTACTGTTTGCATTCCATGTGCGATAGGCTTTAGATTTGTTCTTTTTCGCTGCACTGTCTATACTGATGCACACAGTACAATAAATTGAAGGGAAACAAATGTACGTCCGACTCGCTTCAACTTATTGCACTGTGTTCATAGTGCAACGCAAAGAAACAAACCTCTTTCTAATTAGCTTAAGGACAGGGTTAACAAAAATTTAAATGAAAACTATTTGTATAATATTTTTGGCTACTTCGTCCACATGATTGCACAAGAAAGATAATTTACCAAAAAAAGTAGCCTTATTCATAAGAAAAATGTCAAGATATGTTAGTATTTGAATATGTTTCATCAATACCTTTCCGTAACTCCCTGCGATGAATTTTTCAATTACTCTAGAACTTTTCAGGGTGCATTCGGAACTATATCGAAAAATTTCATTTTCTTTAAAATGAGGTGCCAACTTCACATAGATATTTTTCATAGGTATGCAATTTAAACTCGAGATCCATGGAACCAAAACAAAAACAGTAAAATTTTGCCTCTTTTCATATTGTATCCCTGAAAAAAATAAAATTCACAATTTTTAATTTCTTCACTATTTTGATATTTTTCTTTTTTTTTTGAAATTTTACTTTTTTTATCTCTCAGTGACGTAATACAAAAAAAAAACAATAATTTTACTGTTCTTTTTCATGCATGGTTTCATATGTAGTTTAAATTACATACTTTTTTGATAAAAAGTTCATTGTAAGAAGGTGCAGAATAGGTATAAATGACGAAAATAACGGATAGTTTTTTGTGGATGAGGCAAATATTTTTCTTTCAATATACATAATTACATGAAGTAACAATAAACAATAGCAAAAAATTAAATTTTAATACTTCAATAATTTAAAAAATCAATTTTATGCAAAAATTGTATTAATATAAAATCTATTATAATTTTTTAATATTATATTACAATTAATAATTATTAATATTATTAATATTATAATAATTAATATTTTTTTATGATATTGTAATGATATGTAGGTTAATTTTTCAATCTACCCTGCCCTTAGGTTAGATTATTTTTCTTGCATGGGGATTGATGTCAGGTAACATTAGTAAAATTTAAGTTATGTACAAAGAACTGTTAGTAACATTTTGCATAGCCGCACAAAAGGTTCCGTCAAGTTATGATGCTAATATTCGTACTTATATGTGTAGCACTGACAGTAATTTTGAAGATAACACTGTTTTTGATATTGAAGAAACACATATTGCCTGTGAAGAACACAGAGCAAGTTCCGAGATTTCCATTTCCGAAACATCAAATATTTCTGTAAGTAGCCAATTTGGGTCTACCGACGAGCCTTTACATTCAAAACTTAATCAACGAGCTTCAAAAAGTAATTTCTGTAATAATGTACTGACTATTGACATTATGCAAATAATGATGTAATGTTTTTATCTGTTATTTATATTTGTGCAGAAAGAAAAATTGCCGATGAGGATAGTGACATAAAAAAAGCAATTCTTGCTGCTCTTGATTCGGAACCACAGTCAAAACAGGACGCTGTTAATGGATTTTTCCTACAAATTGGAGATCGATTACGAGCTCTTCCGGTACGCGAGAGACATGCATTTGAAGTTCGGATCTTATCGCAACTATATGACCTAGAATCAGAACTATTTATCGTTTAAAAAATATATTTAGGCGAATGAAAACAAGGCAAATTTTCGTAAATTTTTTTTAAAGGAAAGGATTATCCGATTATTTTTAAAGTTAAGATAAAGTTTATTGTTACTTGTCTTTTGTTTGTTTATTGTTAGATTTGAGAAATCCATTTGACAACTCGCTTCGCACAGACTACTGTAAGTCCGCTATTTTTTAATTTAAAAAAAGAATTGCCTAAATGTATTTTCCTCCTTAATGTTTGGTGCTATATGATTATTTCAAATGATTTAAATCTTATTAGTAGTACTTTTAACTCTATTGATTATAATATATTGATATATATTTATACATTTCAAAATAAACTTTATAATGACATGTTATACATATAAAATGCAATGTAATAATCAAATCTGAAGCATCGTCTTGAGGGAGTCATTGAACAAGAAAATGTGATACGTATGCGCGGTGGAAAAATAAAGATAAAAGACTACACATTGTAATGTCCTGTTTATGCAAAAAGTGTTGACATTTTTGTGAAGAAAATCTTTTCGAGATGTCTCTAATGTCTTCATACAGAATAAAAGCTTTTTATATATAAATACTGTTACGAAATTTTTATCTTAAGGGTAGGGCAATACGGGAGAATGAAATCGAAAACTGTGCAATATTGTTTAAATTTGGTCCACATAATTATATGTAATTAAAACATTCTCATCTTTATAAAACTGTTAATTGAATTTCTTTATCGAATTTACTAATAATTTAACTTGTAGAAAAATTGTACAAGCAATTTTTTATAAAGAATAGGAATTTATTTGATTTTTCTTCTTAACACATTTTTAATACCATATAAAAAATGTACCGCACACTGTGTACACAAAAAGTCACATAAAACTGTAAATATCACAAAAATCGATAGTGTATGCTAAAAATCGTTATTCGTAGCCTTTCTCCACTGAAATTCTATTTGACCAATACCTATAAAAAAGTCTGCGAATGCATTGCGAACTTCTATACCACTGTTATTTTCTTCTTCAGCCTCTTCTTCTTCTAGTGAGGACAGTTCATAATTCATATTTCAAGTTTCAGCACTGACGCGTGTATAATAAATCTTCGAATACAATTCTTCCTCTGAATCTATTATAAAATTATGTAAAACTATTGTAGCCTTGATCATTCTTCGTGCGTTTTTTACACTTGCAATAATCGATTTTCTGTATATTCTCCATCTTGTAACAAGAATTCCAAATGCACTCTCTACTACGCGTCGTGCTCGACTTAGTCTATAATTGAATACTTTTTTTCTTAAATCTAAATTGCTACTCCGGGGAAACGGTCGCATCATGTATCGTGATAGAGGAAATGCTTCGTCACCTAAAAGCACGTATGGCAGTACAGGCCCATTGCTTTCCAATCGTTCACCATTTGGGATCTGGAATTGTTGTTCGTCAAAATATTTGCCCATTATACTATTTCGGAAAACTCCTCCGTCACTGTTTCTGCCTTGTGCTCCGATATCGACCATAGTAAACCTATACTTCGCATCATTGATAGCCATAAGGTTAATACTATGACGCCCTTTATAATTATAATAAAGTGATCCACTGTTTGGTGGAGCCTGCAATAAAACCATATTAAAAATGGGCGCGTTCAGCGGATTCAACAGTTGAGATGAACGCTCGCTGTTATTGGTGTATTCTTCTAGATCTAAAATTCTGATGATCTAAAAGAATACACCAATAACAGCGAGCGCTCACTCAACTGTTAAGTCCGCTGAACGCGCCCAATATGAATAATATTATATATTAGGCAAACTTTTCAAACTTATATCGTCAATTTAGTTACATTTATTGTCTGCGATACAGAAATGTGACACAAAATTATGATTACAAACAAAATTAATTTATAAACAGTAAATTATGTTTGCACTATTGCAAATGAACAAACATTCGAATTTTCAGCAATTCCAAAACAAATATTGCTTAAACTAGTAATCCTGAAACTGGTATACTTTGTATTGATATGATATTCTGCTAAGATGGATATATTTAATTGGTTATGTCATGAATAAAATAAATTGGTTATAAACTACAGTTATTTATATTAAACAACATACCTGTATTTCTACATGCTTGCCGTCGATACAGCCAATGCAGTTTGGGAAATTCCACATATCATCAAAATCTTGGGCAACATTTTGCCAACTCTTCAGAATATCCTTCATAAATACTTTTTCCTTTAAAACTGACCAAATTGCATCACACGTTCTTGAATTATTTTTGACACAGTATTGTGAGCAACGCGAAAAGCATACGAGATGGATACCATGCTATCTCCGCAAGGTACCGCACAGTTATGTATAAACGTGTTTCAGCTGAGATCGCCTTTCTGACATTACTGTTCTTTGTTATCAATGGCCCTACAAGATCAAACAGTTTCTTCAAAACAACAGAATCCATCCGAAAATAGTTCCTAAATTTTTCTTCATCATTTTGCTGCATCTCTTTTACTAAGTTATTGCTTGCTCCTTGCAGTAGACGTCGTTGCTCACTAAATATCATCCTTACCCAAAACTGTCGTTTTTTTTGACAGCCATTTTTAGTTAAAACATTGTACAAAGCATATAATTGCAGAAGCTTTCGACGTAATCTTCTTTTTACAGATGGTTGATTACATCGCTTGAAGCGATGCGCTATCGTTCCCATGGCAAGTAATATGTTTTCTGTATTATCCATGTTTTTCTGCAAAATTATACACAAATATTAATTTTTGTTTAGAAAAGTATTTAATAATTTATTGTGAACATCATGTTTATGGCATAATAAAAAATCATATACATAATATACGATTCTTAGTACATATTTTACTATAATACAATTATGGATATGTGTTACCTTTTCGTCAATCTTCGATATTTATATCACAAACTTCAATTACATTTACTTGAGGCAACTAATTAACAATGACGTAGCTAATTGAATTGTTTCCTTTAAGATTATTTACTCGATATTTACATTATACAATCTATATATGTATGTCATCCGTTGTTTAGCTTCCGTTAAATTTTTTTTCCACTGTCCCATGCAACACATTTTACGTATACGGTTCAGCGGATCACCAATTATGAACAACTTTTAAGGTTATTTTGTAAACGGATCTAGCGGAAAAATTCCGTAATTGGTGCTCCGATCATCCGTTTACGTTCGATCCGCTGCATGGGACAGTGGAACAAAAGTTTCCCGTAAGCAAAACGACGGATCATCGGTGATTGGTCGACGCATTGATCCGTCAATACGTACGTATTGAGAAACGCTCCATGGGACGGCTCCCTGAGGCTGACGTTGGGACTGGTCGGTCGTCGGTATGGGTTCAGCCGGCTTTGACGAGCCGGACAACTGTGGCCGCGATGGTGGATTTGTAGCAGCGAGTTGCCGCTGCAAATTCTTTATTTCAGCTTGGAGAGCTGCTACTTTGTTTGAGGTGTCAGTATTACTGCAAAAGGAAGTAACATTTTTGTTACAGAAAGTTTATTAAATAAAAATAATAAAATATTATTTGTGAATGTATAATAATACTTACATTTCCGTTTCCTCTTCCATTTGTTCTTCTGCAATCCTGTATTATAAGCTTGGCCAGTCGTATTAGGCAGTACGCACAGTCTTCTTCTTCTTCTTCTTCTTCTACTATATATTATTATAAATCTTCTTCTATTAATGGCTCCCGCCTTCAAAATATGTAATAGGAGGTCGATACGGCCAGATCACGTCTCAAAAGTAAATCGTACATACAAAGGAAACGAAAGGGTGATGCAATACCCGCGAAAATGCAATAAACAGATAATTGGCGCCAGGCGCCAGTGTTAGTTTACATGCAGCGCGGAACGCGGTACGCGGTACGCGGTAGGCGGTAAGGGTCTGAGCACAAGCACTGCCGTAATATTTTACGACATACTTAAGTTGTAGACGTAAATAACGCACAAGCTTTGGCGTATCGGCGTATGACGTGTTTATGTACATTATTGACATATCTTTCGATAGCGTGCATAAACACGTCATACGCCGATACGTCAAAGCTTGTGCGTTATTTACATTTACAACTTAAGTTGTCGTAAAATGTTACGGCAGTGCTTGTGCTCAGACCCTAAAGCTTAGAACATATAGTACTGGAAGGAGCATATAGTCTCTTGAAAGTGAAGGCGAGTAGATTGACAGAGAGAAATAGATCAAGATCGTAGTTGGTAATGCGCATGACTGTAGGGAGGGAATGCGCGCGCAAGCGAATTATACACAGCTGTCAGCTGCAGTATACATTTGATATATGAATTTAAGGTTAAAGTGAAAAGGCTAATAAATTTCAATTTATAATAAGAAAAACATTTAAGTGACAGCCAAGTGATAATTTATACATTTATTAAATGATGAATAAAAAACGTCTTTGAGTGCTAATGATAAATTATATTTATTTATTGGTTATTGAACAATATAAGTTTTGTATATTTGTGCCTGATATAATTATCTTTTTCACAAATTTGTTTATTCGTATAATGGATTCGAATTTTTAGATATTAAAGAGTAATTACAAAAACTAACCTCAAAACTAACATTATAAATTCCGTATATTAATACTATACTCACAAATAATTAAACTTACAAGTGATATGAAGACGCCTGATTTTCTTCTTTGCAAATATAGCAATACATTGCCACAAATCACTTATAATTTTTACTCATAGAACCAAACAGAACCAAACACAGTTCGCAAATAATTAACGTGATTTCTAGCATCCACGGTGGATAATCCACCGCGCACACGTATGGAGTATGCGCATTACAATCTACGATCTTAAAGCGGGGAGCACAGACTTTTGCATAACGCATAAAGCATGTGCATAAGGAATTTCATTGGTCCATTTTCTTATGCATGAGTCAATGGACCAATCAAATTCTTTATGTATATGGTTTATGCGTTATGCAAAAGTCTGTGCTCCCCGCTTTAATCTCTCCATCCTTGTCAATCTTCTCGGCTTCAACCGAATGTATGTATGTATTTACAGGGACCATATGCCTATGCTCCTTCCAGAACTATATGTTCTAAGCGGTAAAGTAACTAGAAACCGCGCGCAGTAAGCCGCGCTAATTTTCTCCTATTATTACATGGAGCCAAAACTGCGCGGAAAAGCGGCACGGACTAGTGACAAGTTGACGTTACTATGCACTTTTTAATGAAATTAATAGATTTAAATGCAATTATTAAGCAGATTCGTTGAAAAAATAAGATTATTGATAAAATGTGCATAGAAATAAGTTAATACATTTAAGAAAATGCATACAAATGTGAACTTGTCACTATACTGTGCCGCCTTTCCGCGTTCCATGTAAGGGCGGGTTCACACCTTGACAGAAAAGCGGAAAGCGGAAGAGCAGTTAACCGATCAAAACTCGTGCTGGTAGTAAATAGTACAAAACTAACAGAAAGTCGACTACCTGATTGGCTACTGCTTTTCCGCTTTCCGGTTTTCCGTCAAGGTGTGAACCCGCCCTAAGGGTGCAAACCTATGCAGCGGTAGAGTCCTAGATATCAGAGAAGCGCAACCGGCTTAAGTCAGTATCGCAAAATTACTAAGAAAAGTATTAAAAATGGCGTCATTTGCAGACGAAATATGAAATCCACCAATCGTCTATTAGTCAGCCATTTTTAATACCACTGAATGAATGTCATGATTGGCTGACAGTCAGCTAATCAGGACGCGGAACATCGGTTGCGCTTCTCTGATATCTAG